ATTACTTTTTGATAAATAATTCGTTCTTATTGCGAAATAGGAGCACTATTTATTAATCTGTAATAAAAGACGTGAGGAAATTCTGTCTTTTTTAAGGACAAACATTTTTGAGGCAAAATACCCAAAAAGAAGTTTGTAAAAAATAGTGATTGTCATGCCGAGACGCGCGTTACTGAGGGATCAAAAAATGTTTGATTTTTAATAGTTTTTGCTGTCCAAAAAAACTCATATTGTTGCAAAATAAAATGAATGACTTACCGGAATTTGAACAAAACTGCCATTATTCAACACGGGATGTGAATAGAGTGGCACTACCGGCACAGAACCGTTTTTAATGTAAATCGGCCCCTGAATCGGAGTCACTGGAGGCATGGGTTCGTCCTCATCCTCATAGTCATAATCTATAACTGCATGCACTTTCGTTTTACTTCCTGGATCGGTCACACGCGTGAACGTAGGCAATTGTTGCGGTGTTTGTCGATCGTTTGGAGGCGTTTGATACGGCCCCTGTTGCGGCTGTTGCTGATTGGCATTGCCCGATTGCGGGCTGGATGGCTGGCGCTGATTGGCCCCATAATCCTCGTCCAGGAAGGGTCTTTGGGGCGGCGGATAAGTGTAGGAGGTGCGGTAGGGCGGCAGCTGATGGGTGGGCGGCTGCGGCGGCTGGGGCGGCTGGTAGAAGTTGGTGAGGGGATTGGGGGTGGCCAGGAATGGGGCGCTGAAGTTCAGAAGAGCCATTACGGTGGATTTCACGAGAATGCCATGATTCGTCAACTAAACGGTGTCTGCAAAGGAAAATCAACTCAATTAGTGTGACTGGAAGGATTTTTTCCCGTTTGTTTCCTCAATTAGTCACTGAAGAATTCGCAAAGAATCGTTTTTTGATTAACGTTTGCCCATATTTTTTTATTCAAAATATACCATAAAATATCGATGAGTAGTAAACTTGTATTCGAAACGGCTGTTCTGTTCAGCTTCTTTCGCAAAATATTTTTCTTTCTATTAAACTGTATAACTGTGTGAAAATTCTTGAGCACTTAACTTCCCACAATAAATAAAGTGAATTTTCTCTTCAACAGAAAACACTTTTGAACGCTCTTAATTAAGTTAGTAAATTGTCGTAAATTTTTTTGCAAAGAAGTCGTATTGGATGGTTTTTCTATCAGGAGAAGAATTAGTATTGAAAAGTTCCCTAAAATAACCTCGCTACTTGATGCAAAACAAAATCCCTAGATAGCATCGATTCGCAGATATAGAGGGTTAAAAAATGGTTTTTTTAGAGATTTTCCCTAAGTTTCGAACCGTTCATACGATTATATATCACCTTTCAAATGGATCTTAATTTTTTAGTAGTTAAAAATTGCCAATTTAATCTTCTTGGAAAGGGGTTTGGTATCAAAACCTGGACAACAAAAATAAATTCAGTAAAACGGCTCCAGAGTGCTATTGAGTGATTAATTTGGAAACTTTTTTGGCTCGGGTTATTTTTCCACATTTCATTTCGTTTCTGGGATATTTAATAAAATTCTGGAATGTGGTTGCATTAAAAGTTGCAAAAGTTGCATTAAGCGACGGAAACCTAATTATTTGTGTCAACTTGAGTTGGTGCAAAAAATTGCTACAAAAGCACAGAACATTTACAACAAACTAATACAAAAATTGCATAGAAAACTAATGTATTTATCGCAGATGTTAGTTGTTAGGCGTTTAAAATCCTATCAATAAATTCCTCACGGGTATTTTCTGGCGTTTCATGAACGATTGATCGTAAATGTCCCCAAACAAAATAATCCAAAGAATTCAGATCGGGCAAGCGTGGCGGCCAATTCACTGGTCCTTCGCAAGGAACACTTTTTTTAATGAGTTTTTTGCCTCAATTGTGACTTTTCCAGCCTCTTCGGTGGCTAACATTATTCTCAAAACAGAATTTAAAAATTTTACATTTTTTGCTGAAATTCGTGTTATAAAAAAATATTTTCAAACTTTTGGCGCCTGATTTTTTTCAGGCAAATTGCCATTTTTGTATCTGTATTATGTGGTACTTCAACTGCTAAATATGGGCATCGATTACACATAATTCTAACTACCGTGAGAACGCTTTCGCCACTAATTAATATGTCACCATTCCAAAGACAATAGTAATAAAATGTTTCTTATCGCCAAAGGTTAACCGTTTGGGAAAAATGTAACTGAACGCATTTAATTGACTGCAGGTTTATTAGCAATAATTACTGCGGATTATGATGTATAAAATCCAGTCGCATTGAACAGTTTAGTGTAATTACCGATAGGCCGTTTGTTTGAATTTTAATTGAATTACGACACTTATAAGCAAACAAAGCGCAAATAATTCCTTGCCTGTCGAGCACGTGAGCTTTAAGGAAACTGAATAAAATGCATTATTGGAACAATATTGTGGGGCAAAAACTTTTTTCATACATATAATAGGCACTAGTTAAATATAAGAAAACTTTTGCGTTGAGTTGTTTTCAAAAGCTATTTGCCACATGTTTTATAAACAAAATCAGTTTAAATTGCAAAATTTTCACTGTCAGAGCTTTACTTTTTTGAAATGTAAAAAAATTCGAAAGTTTTGAACTCCTTGTCCAACTTATTTGCCAACGTGATTTCCTTTGAAGAAATCTAAAAAAATGTTTTGAAGTTTTGAATTAATTTTTCAACTTAGTTTTGCTTATTTAGTTGCTGTTAATTTCCGAGAAGTAAGAAATTTGAACACTTCTTCCCTTCTTTAAAAGTCTCAACAAAAATTCTGATTTCGTGTCCTTAAACGCAATGCATCGGTAAGGAAGCGCATTTTGAACAATCTAGTGAAATATATAGCAATAATTTCTAAAACATTTTACAAAAAACTGTTTCAGTTATTAAATAACAGCAATTTTTCAATCGTTCCCCGAAAGTGTAAAATTTTTGAATTTTTTATTGACCTATGGAATGCTTAAAAAATGGAAAATACAGTTTAACAATTTGCTTTTAATTTATGACAAAATTTAGGCCTATTTGCTCCCAGACTGTTAAATATCCCATAAATGACGCTCATTTTACGCTGAAAATTAACAAAAATGTCAAAAAATATGAAAAATATACAGGGTACAATTTACAAATATACAAGTATGAGGCATTTTACATAAAAACTAAGGAGTAAAATGTATTTTGCAGTAAAACCCCCGAATGACGCACTGAAGGGCCACTTTTTTACCTGAAAGAATATTTTTGTTCGACCATCGACACAAACTCAACAAAAAAGCGCGCCGCTTTAATGAAAACCCCAATATTTAGAGATCTGTTAGATTTTTCCTAAATTTCACTCGATGAAGGTTTTGGAAATAATTGGTCAACTCTAAAACTAGTCAAACATTGCGAGAAAAATGTTTTCAGTTTCATTCTTCCACTTCTATGCAACAATCACTACAAATTTACCACGACAGAATAATAAATAAAAGTTGATAAATATTTATATCATAATTAAATTACGCCCAATTGTCCACTGTAAACAATGTATGGCATGAGTAGTGAATAAACAGCAAACAATTTGGTAATGCGCTCGTTAAAATTCCCTGTGGCCCAAATCAGTAATTAAATGACATAATCAGCTACTTGTCCTCAACACTACATGGATCTTTGAAACTTTCACTTATTTTTAGACGACTTAAGATTTAAAAGCCATCACTCTCATATCACACCACTAAATTTAGAATTGCGAATGGCAAAGATTATTGGCCTCATAAATATTGAAAATGGTAATCAATTATTAACACGCGCAATAAATTAATTATTGGCTTAGAACAGGGGGAAAATGCTTTAAAATAAACAGTCCCTTAGGGGGACCTTCACTTACCCTATAGGAAAATCGTTGAAACTTGAAAGAAACGACCGAATGAAGTGAGGACAACTAAGCGAAACGGCGCGATTTTTCAACTTTTCGAACAAGCAAAGGAAAACAATCAACGACAAGAAACGCACGGCCAAAATGCGACAAGAACTTAATGAATTGTTAACATTGTCAAACGAGTGCGAAATTGTGACTGAAGTGTTAAAGTAAAGCGCGGTTTAGAGAGTTGGTAGACTGTTGTAAACCCCACTCGTACACCTACTCTTACTTTTTAATATGAATCGAATGTAAATAAAAGTTCACTTTGAAAAAATGTAATAGTCCATTAGAATGTGTTATGAATTCCTTATAGAGGGTGGATACATGCAGTCACATATTTCCTTGTATCGAACATTTGACTTTCTTTTTCAATCCTGATGTCCCTGAACCAACCCTATAGTTCACGCAGTTATTCGATCGATCACAATTAATGCCTACCAAATCATTAAGCAAAAATATTTTTCAAACATAAAACAGAATTTGCATTTCTATCATTTTTTGCGCGTAAAAGGAGCTCCAAAACCGCTCCAAAACTGATTCATAGTTCTATTTAAAAAAATAGTTTTGCTTCGTTTAGAACTGTTTCTAACTTTTAGCGTTTTCGAAATTTCAAAATGATTTTTCCGATGATGAGACCAAAAACACAAACCTGGCTGCTTATAGGTTGCCTACGAATGAACCATTTAATAAGAAGAAGGAAAACATCAGCAACTAAAATGTATATAAACCGGAATTTTTTTTATGCTCACTTGCATTGTTCTTTCAACTCGGTCGGTTTCTCACTGTTTGATGAAAAATTGCTCCGGAATTTTTGAATTGCAATTTATTAGCAGTATTATCGCTTTCGCAACATTTTAGTCAGTTAACATCATAAGAAGAAATATTGAAATGAAAAAAAAATATTCATGTACATATTTATATTAAATTGGAAAAAATTAATTACAATGCGTTGAACTCAATCAAATTTTTGATTACAAGTTTAAATTCGTTAGGCAGTTAATTTGAACGCAACGTCCACCTCGATTGTTCTATTAAGCACGTTTCGGTTTATACATAAGGAGCAATCATCAGACAAACATTTTGGTAATTTACTCGCATGAAACAAATGCAAATAGAAAGTTCAACTTGATGATGGTTTTAAATAAACTACAACGTATGTGAAAAGAAAACTGATCTAAATTTTGACCCACTCGCAATTTACACTCAAAATAGACTGCAAATTGTAGGGAATTGAATAAATGAAATTATCAAATAAAAGTGCAGATAGTGTTACTTTCAGCCAAAACCTCACTGGTGAGAACTAACACACTCGAAACAATTCCTGTGGGAAATTTTCGTTTTTTTCTTCAATATTCCCCTTGTTTCCTGATATATTAATCATATAGCACACTTTATTACTTGGTTGATTATCAATCCAATTTAGGCAAAGTGTTCCTTAAAGTAAGTTAGGAGATTGATTACTTCTTTTGTGCCTTTGACTTGGTGGTCACACTTTTGACCAAACCCACATAAGTAAAGTGAGTGTAAAATGTTTATGTTTGGGAAAAAAATAGCTGAATGACAAATACATAATTGAGAGTGATCGAAACAGTTTTGACCAGCGGCTGTGGTTTAGGAAGCGGTTCAAATCTTAAAACATGATTAATGAGTTTTCAGTGTTACATTTTTCCATATCAGATTTCATTTGAGATAAAACTAGCTGTAAATGGACAATATGTAATGTGGGCGTGTAATGTGTATACCGGGTGAAACGCGCATCTAGATATTCGACTAAGTAGGCTCCTAGTTAACAAAATTTTTTTTTTCAGAAAACTTTTAATCAAAACCACTTCAGTTGATGGTCAATTATTTCAATGATTTTTACCACCATCGGATACAACTCCATCGGATACAATAATTTATTTAGAAACATTTTAATAGTAGGATCACCCATAATAAAACAATACACATACCTACATGCGTCAACAATCAAACAAATCTCAATATCGTTCAATGCTTTTGTCTCGTGTGTTTTCCAATCGATTTCAATTAAATAATGAAAAAAAAATACGTGTGTGTGTGCCACAACGAGTAATGGTTTTTCTAATCGCAATCCGGATGCTTTGAGGCATATTATTAACGTTTTAAACGTTTGTTTATCAGACCTGTCGCTAGTAAAAGATAACGATTTATGATATGAGGGCGACAGATTATTTTATTTTGTTCATTCGCATGTCTGAATTGGTATCGGTTCCTGGTTCAATTATTACCATTAACAGCGTTATTTCAACTTCGACTATCGAAAATCAAATCAAGGATGGTACAATAAGGAATGCAGTTGTAAAACTACTTTCAATGAAGATGGACTGGCGGATATTTTAAAGTCATTAGCTGGAAAAAATAACCAGCTAATAGCTGAAAGTGGATTTTTGATTGGACATATTAAACCATCAAGTAAAACGTTTTAAACAAAATTTGGTCAGTAACAAACAACCCCTTGAAGAAAATCGCCACGCGAAGGGCATAAAAAGTTGGAAATTGCCCTGCTTTTGCTTATAGAAAGGCAAAAAAAAGATTTTGCAGCCTTGATATAATCAGGCCCCGAATGAAAAACACTGCGTTTTCTATTCCTAATTAATTATCAAATAACTAATCGACTAAATGCCGATTTCATCTATTCAACTTGAAAATGCATCCTTTTATGGGCTTTTATGTGCGAAAATGCAAATTTGAGTAATACCACGTTTATTATCCTGAAACGTTCAACATTAATCACATTATCGTGGTACATACATATGAAAATACATCAGTTGAAAATTGTTTAGGTCGAAAATAAAATATACAAAACATTTACATACTTACTTTCTAGCATCAATAATTAAACAGAGTTAGGAAAAGATAAAATCCTGGAGTATTTCTATGTACATGAATCACAGTGTTTCAGATATTGTTGGCATCAGTCAAATAATATATACGGCAAGCGAATGGCGAGAAAACCGTATATATATATTTTTATTCAAGTTTGCCACAAAAACTGTACACAATTCCAGATATGTAGGTTCTCGACCAACTTTCAGATCCTTCGATTTAATGAAATTTTCAAGAGAAAAACAATACGCCAAATAGGGCAAAAATATCACCTTAAATGCAAACAAAAAAGTATCTAAACTGAAAAAAAAAGGTGAAACCTACAGCAACAAAATGGCTTTTAACACCCTGTACATTTCAAATAGTTGGAAATATAGAGATCAGACCATAAAGAGTACTTACATTTTAGTTATGCATGCACACTACATTTTAGGACACATATTTTGAAAATTAATTGGCACTTTTCTACGTTTTGCCTTACAGGTTACATGTTTACATCAAAATGCTTCTCTAGGGCAGTGTAATCACAATGAAAAACCCTGTAAAAACATCTAAAGACATTTTACAACAGAACATCAGCCTCTTTTGGTTCCGGTTCAGTGTCAGACTGTTCAGTTACAATAATAACAGGCATATTAAGAATGATCTTTTTTGGTTCGGTGTGGATTTGTGCTGCCTTAACTTGCGCGTCCAACTCTCCATACTGAGTATGACTACTGAAATCTACATCGCAGCAGAACAAATGGATTAATTTTTCAAAATCCTCCATCAAGTTGAACCTGAGGCATTTTTTCAGATATGGCGGCATTTCCTTTGTTGAGTACGGCAAACAAACGACAAGGATTTCCACACTGGAAATCGCTCTATTCGCCTCAATCACCAAGTGTTTGTGTACGATCGGGTCGGGTTGGAAGATGTGCGTGCCGCAAATATAAATGATATGCGAGGCCTCAGATATATTGCTCACTATTTGCACTTTGGCCAAATTCTTCAAGGATTTCTCTAGTGCTTTCACGATTAAATAGTGCTTCTCAGGAGTTTGACTGTAAACGAGGTAAATTGTGCTCTGTGCCTCTTCGTTTTTATCTGGAAATTTACTCATTTTAACTGCAAAGAACTAACGATCTTAAGAGATTGTGTGCATAATTTTAAACAGAAATGCTTCAATTCTAAACTCATCAATAGACAAAATAGATTTGAAATATTACCACCCAACTTTCATGCCATGCTCGTGTTAAAATTCAGTTTAATGCTGCTTACCTACAGGCTGATTTCGTCGATTCCACATATGAAACATAAACAATATACAGGGAATCAGAAAACTAGCTCCGACAATACCAATAACTAACGGGGGATATCTTCTACCTGCAATAAATTTCAGATATTTTTCTCAAATTATACAAACAACGAACGATTTAGCAAAATTAAATACATACTTTTTCATACAAATATCCAAGTGTGCAACACTTAAAGCTTCTAGTAGTTACTTACGTATATAAATAGTCGCCGAAATACTCTTCAGACAAGCATCTTCCGGGCAAATATCGTTAACGGCGCTAATTTGGAAAAAGTAATACCCTTCATCATTATAGGTGATAAATTCAAAGGACAGCTCGGGCTCCAATCCTGCTTTTAGCATTCGCACGTCTAATAAAATGTTACTACCGCCTTTGATTTTAAACACTTCCACTTTGTAGTAAGTCACGTTGTACATTAGGGGTAAGGCTTGAATATTTAGGTAAATATCGTAGTTACTGGATATATCCACACTGCAGAATATTGCTCTGTTCTGTAAAGGAGTATCATTACCTGGAAAACAAATTAATATTTTCATTATGTGTACTAAGGGCAACTTTAGTCGAATTTCCGTGGGATTACTGTTTCAGGAGTCACTTTACTCACTTACTTTGAGTAGGACTATTTTGCACGTAAATTCTGCCCCATTGAAACCCATTGCGCCCAGAAAGCTCAGCACTTTAACAACGGCAAAATTTATTACTTTTATTACGGGAATAAAATGTAATTTTTGTCTGAAGCGGCTGAATTTGCGGTTTTTGATTGAGGGTATTTCTTTGTGTGTAAAAGGTTTCGAAACTTGCTCGCCAATCGCCATTTTGCCGAGGTAGGAGCAAAATAATCCACCACTTACTTATCGAGAAGACACGAACGTGTTCAAATAATATTCAAAGAGCTGTAGATTTTTTTCCTATAGGTACCAATGTTTTCTTACCAAAATTCGCCACATTCGGGAAATTAAAAACCAAGTTTTTATATAAAATGTCTGTATCCAGTTCCGCCATGAAGTCCAACAGATAATTCACGCTGCTGTTATAATGTTCGAAATTAAAGCACGAATCAATTGCTTCTGATATGGAAACCTGAGCGGCGTCATGGGCTCGGGAATATACCTTGCATATACTTAGATCCATCTCATTTTCCTGCGATAACCTCAGATGGGCTTCTGAAAATTCAATAAAAATTCAATTTGCTCCTTGTTCACATTCCAAATAGCCTTACTGTTCCATTTGATCTCGCGAAAAATGATATCTAATGAATATCCCCTTTTGTCGTCAAGAGCAGCCCGTAGCCTTAAGGACCCTAAATGGGAGTTCAGTTTATCGCTTCCTTCGAAGCCTATTTGGCCGCAGTCGCTCGAATCCAGCAACTTGGTTTGCACGGTATTTTTCGWTAATGGGGCCAGAAAGTACTAAAAATTAACCATACGAATAGCYTGTAAATACCGAGAGATTTAARGGGCTACAAAATRAAYTCTTTGAGAAATGAGAAACGTCGGTAGTTGTTCGTAAAATTTATATTTATGTATGTCGTTTAGAATTAAGTTTAGATGTGGAAAACGAGGCRGTTTTATGTGTTCCTGACTAAAATGCTGCAGTTATTAACCCAAATCAAACTTGCCCCATTCTCACTTATTAAGGGATGCAGAAATTGGCAATTTTAGGGCAAGCTGTTTGGAAAATATCGTGAAAAGAAACACGTACGTTGTMTCCAATTTGTTAAATTGTTCTGCTAAAACACATTTTTGAATGGTTGGCTTAAAATCAAATTCACTTAAAAGAAGGAAAACAGATTTTCGATAAATGAAATGAATATAAACCGCTTTTAAAATTAATTTAAAGAGTGTTCGATGTGGTTTCGATCATTAATAGTGTTCAGGATGAGTTAGAACTTGGGTACAACCTTATTTCAACCTAACTAACCAAACTAATTTCAATGTAGGTACTTTGCGCAACTGACCAACATTAAATATTACTTATTTTCTCGCCTGTGTAGATTTTGTAGCCCTAGTAAATGTTTCATTATAGCAGCAAATTCCTTCAATGTGAAAAGGAAGTTATGGAAATGTTTTTCTTATCTGGTACTCACCTGATAATCACATGTCGTCTTGGCATTGCTTCCTGATAAGCTGAGTAGCAACAGGCAAAAGCTGAGCTCAGCTAAACCCATGATAGCCGAATTGCTAAATATCTTCCAAATGCGTAATAAATCTGGATGACAATTTCTATTCCATGTGCCCCCAATGAAGCGTTTTTTCAATAAGAAGTATTCCCCAGAGAGGATTGAATATCCGGTACCAAAACAGGACGTTTTGGGACTCAAGTTGATTAATAATCGGGTGGAAAAACAGATTTTCAGGGCAAACAGCTCACAAATCACAACAATAATAAGGATCAAAAATGTAAACACAACCGGTTGCCAGTAGAAAACAGGGACAAGGACAAGGTAAACAAAAAWGAGATAAGGATACTCACTTTCACCCACGYATTGAACAGAGAGAGAAATSGGTAACTTCTGCAAACGCCCCAAAACYGGCGYTCATTTTACGTTGCATTCWRTACATTCGCCACGTTGGCCAGGATTGAAGTGCGCGCACGCTCGCGTTATGTGCACTGAAAAWTTTTTTAGGAGAAAATTACCGGAAKGGAAGTGAAATGGGKCTTGAGAAATTTMGAAAAAAGCAKCGTCATGTTTGAGTCGACTTTGCASATGAAAAAAAAACTMGCAAAKCTAAAACTTCTTGAAATCAAGACTGATTTTGACTGAATTTTTGAGAAAACTGACARCATTTAATGATCGATTGTTCACTTTCYAAAAAGTCCATTTAGTTTTCTCTGGATGAGTAACTCGTCTTTATCTATGGATGTAACAAGGARCGCTCTTACTAGGGACGGGAGAAAAACATCGATGTAATTCGTTCGATGTTCGAWAWWTTTASAATCGATGTTGGAAATTTGGGACATYGATAAAACATCGATRTTAKATCCTGAAATRAAAACAKCGGACATTTGATGTTGATAGAAACATTTTCTGCGAACTCTTTGATAGTGCCGATACATACAAAAAATGTGAAAACTATAAGTTCAATAAATTTAGTCGATTATTTAATGTCATAGCAGTAATAAAATAAAATTAGTGAAGTTTAAGTTAATCAATTTGAAATTTGTATGCAACGGCAAACTATCAGAACCTCGATGTTGAGTTAGTTAGCTAATATGTCGATCGGAGAACGACGACACTAACGCATATATGCTAACTCGACTCGTTGTTTAAATGACATGCGCTAGTTAGTTTGAGGTTAAGTCAGAGACAAGTACTTAACTCTGGTTACGTTAAGCAAAACAAACTTCTGTCATCAAACGTTTATGATTCAGACCATAGAACAAGGATTTCAGACAGTGTCTTTCATCTATGAAAATAAATGTGCTTTTGAGACTTTATATTAAAACTACAGTGTTACATATTTCCTAAACATAGTTAGTTAGTGATTTGTTACTAAATTTTGCGACTATACGACTGAATATACTTGCAGGTAAATGTCTGATTCAAATTTCGCTTTCTGGGTCAAAACTGCCGGAATTTCCTCACACGTTGTTAAGACTGAATCTAATTTTCAACTTCAATACAACTTTTCAACCCATAGTTTGGAAATAATGACTAAAATGTAACGGGCCAGTAAGAAAACTGCGTCAAATCCCAACCTGTTTTTAGGCGCACTAACTTTTTGTTCAGATGCGACCGACTATTCTCAGTGATACTATAATAATAAAAATGGCAATAAAATAATTGAAAAACAACAGTCGCAAGATTTTCTCAAAATCAACTCTAATAATTACACAATATGAATGATGTTGCACAATTAATTAATAAAGGTTGTTTCGGCCTGTTATTAAAAAAGTTAAAACTTCACCCCAACATTGCAATTATCATTGTAACAAATCGAACATACAGCATCAAATCCTTGCAGTTTTTCGTACTCAATCAGTTCCTCGCAAGATCCAAAACTCGGTTCCCAACAGCCGGCGTACGATAAATTTACTGAAAATATTTTCCTTTACCTTAAAAAATCGCAGATCTGAACTTGCTTACAATTTCCGTTGTAGCTGATCCAAAATGAAATGCATCCAGTGGCGTTGAGAAGATCCTCATCAAGGCAAGCGTGTGATTCTATGCAGGAATCAAATGCGCACAAAGTGCAATATTCAACAGTCAGAACAACACCTGTAAAGTATTAGTTGCAGTTACGTTTACACGTGATTCAATCTCCTATTCACCAAAGGATGCCATAAACATTACAATCAAAGCACTACAGAATCCCATCCTGGTGGACTTATAAAGGAATATCAAATAATAGTTTCAATAAATTATCAATCACACCACTCGAGCGATAAGGCAAATTTTATCTGACTACATTCTAAAAATGTACTTGAATAAGTGTACTTTAAGTACGTTTAGGGAGTGAGAAACGACATCCAAAATAAAACGGCATGTTTATTGCGCAAAAACAACTTAAAACAGGAAAACCATAAGATATTGGCCATTTTTGGCAAGTGAAAAAATACTAAACTTAAACAATATGTACATATTGACAGAACATTGTAAGCCAACACCTGCAGGTCTAGTTCAGGTCATCAAAAATGCAATAATTAGTCCTAACTTTGTCATGTTAGCCTTATGATTTGTGTCTTCTTAAAGAGCGATTTAGGCATCAGATGTTCACTAATTCATATTTTGGTTAAGCTCAGTTTGAATGGCACAGATAGGATGAGGGCAAATAACAAATCAATCAGCTCTTCTATAGAGACTTACAAAATGCCCCATTGTTAACAATGAAAGAGTCAAATATCTTAATCTAGAGCCTTTGTCTGCAGCCTTTTTCATCACATTCAGTTTGCAGAATTGCACCCTGACATTTTCGCAGCAAAATGACCAGAACATGGTCGTTTGCACGACAAATTCGTTACAAGATCTAGGTAAGATCTGCAGAAAATGGCAAACTAAGTTTCTCTTGGATCTGCTCCACTCGTTCGTGCAGTTGCGATAAAAGGTGGGGCGCTCGAAGGGGCGCAAATGTTTCCCTACTAGCTTCTGACCTGCAAAATAAACGTATTTTCTTCAAATTAGAGCCCGACTCAACACAAAAAGTATGCCACTTTTCATTGATAAACGAGAAGTCAGATAAAATGTAAAAAACCTACTGTATTCCAGTATTCTGGTTCCTTGGGTTATCTTTGGAAGGTGGTGTGTTACCTGACCAAGCCACATCCCTTCCTGCAGATGTGGCACTTATAGCTGGTGAAACTGGCCTGGACGCGTCGAACATTTGAGCTGCATTCTGTCGGAATGGATTGTTACTGTTCGCCTAACAAATTAGCTTTCGACTCAAACCCAACTAAAAAATAATAAACCACCGAACTTACTTGATAAGGACTATGTGGGAAATACTGGTTGGACACAGGCTGGCCCACTTGAAAGTTTGCGGTTGTTCCAGGATTTTCCTGCAAAAATCGCTCTTTGGATCGTTGATAATGGCGAGCGTTGATTTTCTCGTATTTCCTCATACCAGTATGCCAGCGCCGCACCAGAAATTGCATCCGTTGTATCGAAATCACTGTATATACTGCCGCTCTAAAATAATCACTTTGGCATCAACCCAAAGCCCTTTTCTGCAAATAATTGATATTATTTACCTGAAATGTTGTATGGGAGAATGCCTGCGTCGCAAGCAGTAGTTTTCATGGGGCTGATTGGGCAACACTTCAATTAGGCAATGCCTCTGGTGACTTTGCAAAAAATCTACCAAGTACCTTTTCTGCCATATTAAGGCCTTCTTCACGCTTTCTAGTTTCAGACTTTTGGCGAATAAATAGTTACACTGCGAAACAACTTTTTATCACTTTTACCTTCACAAATAGCCCGCAGGAATTTACTTACCCTTGCCACCAAATCAGCAAACGGCATGTTACCGTTCACACTATTTATCATTTCAGTTCGTAACTGGTTTTCAAGAAGTTTCTTTTCCCGTTCGATCTGTTCTATGTATTCCAATCGTTGTTTGTTTTCATCTGATTTGTCCTTCAGCTCTTTGATCAGATTTCCCAAAGTCTCAGGCACGGTACTTTCCATGGGAGCGATAGCTGCAGCAGCTTGCTCTTTTAACGTTTTCAAAATTTCAGCTTTCTGTTTCTTGAGCAGTGTTTTTTCTTGCTCCAATTCATCCTGAAAATTATTACATTATTCAACTGTTCAACGTTGATACAAATAGTGCTACAACGTACCATTTTGATTTTACTCTCTTCAACTTCACGCTCCTTCAATTCCATTTCAAATTTCTTCCGAAGCAGTTCTTCAGATAAATGTCGCTCTTTGTCTTGAAGTATCCTGAATTTCTCCTCTTGCGCTCTATTTCGCTCCGTTTCCAGTTCCAGCATTTCCTTGGTGTATTTGACGCTACTTTTCAATTCGTTATTGCTTTGATCCAACGATTTATTTTCCATCAACAATTGAGTCATTTTTTCTTTTACGGTTTTAAGCTCCTTTTTAAGATGCGACAATTCACGGGCATCTTGCGTGGGAAGCGAATTATATTTGGTCGACTCCGAACTGCTAGACGGCTTCTGCCAAATTAGAGGTTTATGGAACTAATATTAAGGAAAATAAAGGGTGCCATATTTTTACCTTCAATTCCTCACATTGAATCTCAACCTTTCTTCTGCAAACTCTTTCTTCATTCAACAGTTTTTCTAATTGCTCTTGATAGTTTAAGGCGTATTCTAACTTTATTCGCAGCTGTTCCATCAATTTGGAGTCCTAAAATGAAATTATACTGTAAAGTAAGCTCAGAATCTACGCACTCATATTTCGCTATAAATGAGTATGTGCTAAAGAACTGCAAAATTTACAAAATCCCCGTTTGCACTTGCATAACTCACCTCTATCATAGTCAGTTTGTTGGCCATTTTTTCTTTTTCTATGGCGTTTTGCATCTCATTCAGCGTTTGCTGGAGGTTGTTACATTGTTGTTGCAACGACAGTTTCTGTTTCTCCAGCAAATCATTGGTCCGCAARAGCTGTTTGTTTTGATTTTTTTGCCGAGTGAGAGACTTCCTATAAATAAACGTTATTATGTGTTAAAGACATTTCAGTTTTTCAAATAATAAAAAWTAGTACGAACTAATAGGTAACTTACATATGCACTTCAGCGTCTTGTCCTTCGGAAATTGAACTAAGACTCTGATCACTCACAGCGGTTAAAATGTGGGAGTCTAACTCTGCTGCACATTCCAATTCCCTTTTGAGTTGGCCAGTGATTTCTTCTACTGGCGTATTGTTTGCTATTTGATAATTGTACAAAACGGCTTTCAGCTTGTGTATTTCGATGAACAAATCAGCATTCTTTTTCTGTTCGTTTTTCAACCTACAAAATCATTAATATCAATTGGGCTCTCACAACTTTGTAGTGTTCAACTTACCGATTAGACAGATCAAAAATATTTCCAGTTTCTTTGATTTTATTGTCAATAGCTTTAATGTTCATATGAACTTGCTTATGGTCTTCGGTCATCTGATTAATTATGGTGTCTTTTTCGCGCATTAGCTCCTCAAGGTGCGCAACTTCTTTGGTTAGCTCAGAAATTTTCAATTGGTCCTCTTGTAGACTTTTTTTTGGCACCGGAGTCTCCAAAGCCTTCAGATTATTCTCCAACTCGATTGCTCGGTTTTGATAATACTTCAAATCCTCGTTCAGTATATCCAAGTCACATTGTTTATCCACAATGAGAGCGTCACATTTTTGCGCTTTTTCTTGCAAATCCGCAATAGATTTTTCGCGATCGCTTAAACTCTGCTTCATGTTTTGCAAATCCGTTTCTTTTGCTTCAATTTTTTGCTGATGACTTTCCAACTCATGCGACATATTGTCGATGAAAACATTCTTATCGGCAATAGTTTTTTTTAACTTCGTTATTTCTTCAGCGGCGGCAGCCCGATTTTCTTCTAAACTTAGCTTGACTGTTTGAAGTGCCGCCACTTCCTGCTGAAGCAAACCTATTTGCTTGTTCAAATGGTCCAATTGTAAAAATTCTGCCTGTAATTGCTTTAGGCTCATTTGAAGCTTGTCGATAATTGAATTCTTCTCGTCTAGAGCTTTATTTAAGTTGGATAAGCTGTCGGTTTCATAACTTTGCATGTAGAGCTCTAAATCCCGCTTCTCTTTGGCTAGGTTTAAATACATTTCATCTTTTCTGACCGAATCTTCTTTGAGCGCTTGCACTTCTTTTTCCTTTTCGGACAAATGCATTTTCTTTTCAGCCAGCTGTACTCCCAGTAATTGTTCTTTGTCCTTTGCATCCTGCTGTTCTTTTTCGAAAGTCGCAGTGGCACTGGTTAGTGCTTGTTCGGTCTCATCCAACCGGCCCTGGAGCAGGGTGATTTTGTTCTCGAACTCATCTAATATTCGCAACTTTGCGTCCAATTCCAGAATCATTTTGTTTTTATCAGCCAGTTCCGCTTTCAGCTCCTCGATTTGCTGAATTAAATCGCTACTGCTTTGAGGGTCTTTGAAATGCACTCTCTTTTCTGCTGATCGCTGGTTAAGCTGCGTAGAGTTTGACTTTCCTAGCAAATAAAGAAACGCCCAATACTATTAGGAAAGGCTAAATAATTGTTCTTACCTAACGCAGATAGAGTGCGGTTGAATTTCGACGGCGCGATTCTTTGAATTGATGAAATTTCAGGCTCCAAACAGCTCTCTAACAAACTGGTCTCCTCGGTGGTTTTCATAGAGATGTGATCGAGATCCCTAAAATCGTCCGTTTTATTGCTGGCGCAACGTCGGACTTGATCGATCGGTTGGCTTAGATCTAAAATGGAAATTAGCTGCTCTATAGAGCCGCCAGCATTTTTCAAGTTTGCCAGAGTTTTCAGGTCGTTGGAGTTCAAGTTTAAGGAGGTATAGCTAAACAACAACCGCTCAGTTTCCACCTGCTTGTCCCTCAGTTTCTCAATTTCACTGTTTTTATCCTGTATTATATTTTCTACCAGGTTTGGTAACATCTGGTTGTCTGTTGATTTTTCTTTCAGCATGCGATTCTCTCGTCGAAGCGCTTCTAGCTCTTTCTGCATTTCAACGACAATTTCGTCGGATTTTTCTGAAGCTATTTCCGTTTCAGCTACTTGAAGCCGCTGCTGAGTTTCCTTGATGATTTGCTCCTGAAGATGCAGTGTTTTGTCTTTGCTTTGTATTTTCTCCTGAAACGCCGTTTTTTTAGTAGTAGAAGATTAATTAGGAAATTAACTGTCTACCTGCAGGTCAAGTATTTCATTTTGCAGGTCATAGATTTTGATTTCCAACGAAGTATTGGTTTGCTTTTCGATATGTTCCGCCTTGATTCTCTGCTGGTCTAATCGAATTTGGAAGTCGCTGATGAGCACCAGCTGCTCGTGGATTTGCCTTTTCATAAACTCCTTTTCATTATTGGCTTCGTCGTTCTCATTTTTAAGACTAGTAATTTGCATGTCCATATCATGCATTCGTTTGATTGCGGCTTCTTCTGCTCTGGAATGCCTGAGTAGCTTTTCCTTTAATCTGGCTAATTGCTGCAGAGGCACTTCGCATTCATCCATTACTGCAGAGTTGGGTGTTTGGGGTCTGATCTGAAAAAACGCATAAGTTGTATTTTGTTTCACTTAAAAGATTTGCGACTTACTAAATCTCTAACGGACATGTCCTCAGATGGTGAGCTACAGCTCGTGGTTCCAGACGAGTGAAGTAGCTCTAGTTCCTTAGTTTTCTTGTCCAGACTGACCTCGATTTCAAACAACTGAAATGTAACAAAGTGCTTGAATTCCTTGAGATTTTTTAATTAGAAATGTTCTTACCTGAATTTTTATCTGCCTCAATTCGCCCTCGCTGCCTGCCAGCTCCGCTCCGATCCTCAACTTTTGAACCTCTTCCTCCAGTTCTTCACAGTGCTGCCGCAGATTCTGAATATCTGAAACATTCCCTCCGGCAGTGAACAATTTATATTCGTTCAATGACTCGTTTTGCTGATTGACAATACATTCTAGTTTCTGCAAGTAGTGCAAATGTTCTTCAATTTCTCGATCTTTCGAATCGCTCAGCTGCTCTAAATCCTTGATTATGTCGCGAAGAATCGTTATCTTCTCCACGGCCTCATCACGTTCGCCTTCCAGCTCTTTGTATTTATGCTGCTGATCTTGCAGGCAGCTGTTGAGCTCTTGGATCTGTTGCTCCAACTGTTCAGCCTTTTATTGCAAAAAAAATAACCGCTTTAAATATGTTTTCTTTTTAATTTATATGGAAATGGTACAATTGATTACCTTTTTCGATAAAAAACCGATGTGGTTGATTGAAAACCACAAACTCAACATCTTGAAAAATTTTCAGGATGAAAATTTTAAAATCAACTAACACTCTTTCACGTCGATAGTTGGATTATATCTTAGCTTTGGCCCTGTCGAGCCGGTTAAGTGCTTCGTAAATAGCGGAAGAGGTAAACAAAGAATGCGATAAATTCAAAAAGCATTCCAAACGCGCTGTTTAAATTAAATGCAATTGAATAGAAAATACGAATATAGGGAATCAGTGAAACTTCGATAATTTTCAATATTTTTGCGAATGAATCTGTAGTTAAGAGTTGAAATTTCTCATTGCATTCAGAAAACAAACAGGATATTTAGTTGGTGAATGCGGAACTTTCAATACAATTTTAACGCCCAAAAAACTATCTAATAATAAACGTTATAAATCACTTGTAACCCAACGGTGCTTCCAAATACTAAAAGCTGTGCAATGCCATTGATTGTTACCTGCACACCTGAAAGTCCAATTTCCAAAATAGCCACTACTAATCTCGACTAAAACTTTTCACTTGTTAGTCCTGTTAACTAATAAAGCTAATTAAAGTGAAAACACTGGAATAAACAAATTGGGGACACCAAAAGGGAAGTCTGTTTTCGCCGTTCACCAAAGCCAAACATCACAACGAGAGGAAAGACCGAAAATAACTCAACGATAAAAATAGAGCGCGAGCCTTTTGGAAAACACTGTCTGGAAAGGGCTTAATAGAAATAGACATAGTTATTTCTAGTTATTCATGGGGTAAGTCGGAAGTTGTTAATTTATTTTTATCAGATTGGTTTATTTTGGGTATCAATTTTCAATTCAAATTGCCATTGGTTTAGAAGCTAAAAAGCTTCTTTAAAGTTAATAATTTTTTTAAATCCTATATTTTAAATGAGTTCTAACGTATAATAGTGTTTTTACCTGATAAGCGTCTACTTCAAGCTTGCTACGGCAAGACTTCACATGATGCTGCCCAACGCAATTCCCGCAAACATGCAAAAGTGATCCAAAATAAGTTGAAATTATGAATATTCAAAGCGATATGTGGAAAGATTGATAAAGCTGATCTAATGAGAATGCGTGTAAACTGTGGCTAAGTCGGCTAGGGTTGCGAAATAGAATAAATCAACAATTATTAATTTTCCACGAAAATTTGCGTCAACAAATAAAAGGAATTAAAAATCCTTTCAAGTTAAAAATGGTTATCTAAGAAAACGTTATTGGGTGTTTCGTAGCAGTATTTTTGAAGCAAACCGATCAAATCAAGAACAATGCATTTCCTGTGACTAAAATGCTGCATTATTGGCGTGAGCTCTTAAAAAACTCAACAGAAACGTACTTATTAATATTAATGAATATGTATTTTCAAACATCGAGCAAACAATCCATGGACTTTCCACACACTTTCCTATAGTTGTTCTTATTCTATTTCGCAAAATACCATCTGATGGAAACATTTCTTTTTCAAATTAATTGGAATGTCCCAACCGCTTTAAAAAGGAAAAATATATCGATCAACATTTTATTTATCATAATTTTTAGAATAAATATTGTGAGCAAAAATGCTTTTAATGAGAAGCCATAACAAATCGCTCGCGCTGAAGATGCATGAAGTCAAACATGAGACTTACGAGATCCAGATATTGCGCTTTCCACTGGCCAATTCAATTATTATCGGCTATTAGTAAAGCATTTCAAGTAAAACTGCAAACGTATGTAACACGCAAATATTCTCAACCCGCAAACAATCTTCATGCGTTTAGCCTGCATACCAGATGCATATAAAAATCGGGAAATATTTACATCAGAAGCATCATCAACTAGCCAGTTTCAATTCTAGCTCAAAGCTCTAAACCTGCACACCTCCAACCTTACCTCTGCAGACATTATTTGGCAATTGGCTTTATCCTTTTCTCGATCTTTCAGCTGCTCGTAAAGTGAATCGATTTGCTTCTGAGCTTCATCCCTTTCCTGCTCTCGTTCCACCGCCTGTTCTTCCAGGAACTTTTGCGTTGCCTTGTATTTTTTATCTGCTGCCTCAATCTATTTAAAATGCACTGTTTTGGATGGGCATGATAATGGCATGAGCGGTTAGGGATTATTATTTTGTTGGAGAACACAAAAAAATGCTTGAACTAATGTGAGTAGAAATAGTGGGCTTCCGGATCCAAACAGTTTTGTTTAGTTATTGCTCATTCAAACAAGTCAATATGATACGGAAATTTACTTGATTATGGGGTTCAATTTCTTTACTTATGCAATACATTTTTTGATTTTGATTCCTAATTGAATTTAATGTATATCATTTTCATGTCTAAAATAGATTCAAGTTAATTCAATCTACCTATACCCACATTTAATGTTACTTGGCGATCAAGAAAAAATATATAAATAAGCACCTGGAACGTACATACCTTCAACAACACAGCTGCGACAACCGCAAGCATAACTCGCAAATAAAATTGATATTGGATTCATAAATTTAACTCAATAACACCAATAAATGCAACACCCGACATTGGAGGCAAAAGGTAAACACTAAATTCGTCTTGTTGACCACAAAATAATTCTTCAGTCCTGTTTAGTTTACGTTTAAGCTCGCACTATGCGTTTAATACGCCGTAAAAATATGTTAAATCTTTGAAGAATTGTTTGGTGCATAAATTATTAGGATTTCTTGAAGCTACCTCGTTGTGAGAGATGAATTTTATCCATCATTAATTTTTCGTATACCGTTGAAGTAGGAAATCACAAAACTCACCTGCTGAAGCAAATCTCTAAATTCTTTTTTCGACTCCTCTTTTATCTTCTCTCCGACACGGCACAGTTCTTCGATCAGTTGAAGTGCATTTGGATCTAGAGTGGCCCGTGAATGTGTTGTCAATGATCTGGCCTTCTCCTGAAGATCACATAAAGCCCTAGTGGTATCTTCTGAAATATAAAAAAGTTGATAACCGAAGTTTGCGTTAAAAATTGCGACACTACTGACCCAATCCCGGCATTACAGGGTTGTCCCTCTCACCGAAACCTTCTGATATTACTTCCACGTGCCTATTTTCAATCAGTTCCGCGATTTGGTACTTGGCCTGCTCCAAATCGTTATCCAAGATCTGTACTTTTTCCACCAACTCATCAACTCTAACTTCCAAAAACTCCTTCTCCTTTTCAAGAGAAGCCACTATTTGATTGGAGTTGATTAGATCTTGTTTGAATCTGAAAGCCCAAACGTTTTAAAAAAATATATAATCTCAAATGAAAATTACCTCTCGATCAAAAACTGCTCGTCTCCCTGGGGAGAATGTATGTTGCTGGCCTCTTTGGGACGGGAGCTTAAAGCCAAAACTGCATTGGCTTCGTGTTTCAACTTCTCCAAACACATGCCCAGCTCATTCTTTAAATCCACTGCTATATCAACTGAATCGTCATCTTGTTGGTAATCAATCATGTTGATCAAATCGCTGAAATTAGGCGCCAAATGAACGCGGGTTTTATTAGACAAACTGTCCAAGATTCTGCTCGAGTTTGTGGTGCCTCCACTAGATACATCCAGGTTGAGTTCTTCTTCAAGCTGCTCCAATGTGAAACTGTCGTTACTGCGCTTAACCAAGCTGTCCACTAACGTATTGTTCAGCTCATCTTCAGCCTGAGTAAAATACTTCACTAGCTCTGATAGCAGGTTTCGCAACGAAACTACTTGCTTTTTCAGTCCATCTCTGTAAAGAACATAAGGTTCATAAAATAAGTACTAAAAAAATGTCGGTAAAACCATTATACCTTTCTTTCAGCAACTCTAAATCTGTCTTGCTCAAACTTTCCCCATCTCGTAAACTCCTGCGCCGAGCCCTTTCAAGAGCCCCATTCAATATTTTAAAATGCTCTTCTTTCAATTTGGTCATTTCACTATTGTGCTGCTCCTTTATGTGGTTTATTTCCGTTTCATGTTTACTTGTGAATTTATCGCGGAACTTTAGCAGTTCCGGGGGCCAATCTTCGTCTTCAGACTCATTAGAAATCAGCCTCTATGTGAATAACATTATTTTTATCGCATAAAACAGCACTAGTTTTATCGAATTCAATAGGAACTAACCTGTAGCTGACTAGCTAAGTCGTTAGCTATGTCGATTTTGGCCAAATCAATTTGCTCTTGTAGGCGTCTTTCGTAGCTCTCAACCACTTCGTTTAGCTCGTAATCACCAGAACTTGCCTACAACAAAAAAGTTATTCAAAAATAACTTTAAATAAATGTGATAACTGACCACTTCCTGAACTGCTGTGGAAAAACTGATATCTGCAGGCTGTTTAGGATTCTCCTCCAGCTGAAACTTCAAATTCGATATCTCTTCCAAATACTTATTTTCTATGGCTTTAATCTCCAATTTCTCGCCAATCTTTAGCAAAGTGTTCAGTTCGTTTTTAACTTCGATTTCAATATTGGCCAGCTGTTTATCGCTGATATTTTCCATTGAATGACTCGAAAGTTTGCTCACAAAAATGGCCAAATTTTCTTTCAGCTTTTCGACATCTTCCTTGCTCTTCAGAATTCTGTTGTGATCCCCACCTGGTCCTGGCTGGCTCGACAAGAGAAAATCCGCACTCAGTTCCACCTCTGAACTGGAACCAGACATTCTGCGGCTTTGTTGACTAAAAACTTCTTCTGAATAACTGAAATTATTAATACAGCGTTGGAAGATTTTTGGCATATTTTTAAGATTAGAGCTTACTGTTTTTCCAGTTCAGCGCATTTTTTCTCAAAATATGTGCGCAATTCCTCTACTTCTTTGGCATGCTTTTCCTCAAGCTCGACTTTCAATTTCATCAGCTCGTTTGAACCATGCGTGCTACTTTCTAAAAGCCCTCGAAGTCTAGACGTTTCGCCCTCATGTTCAGTTTCGTTGCTAATAATTTTTTGCTGAAACGCAATAGAAAATAATAGAAAACGAAAGTATTTACTAGAATGTTACATATAATTTTAAATTAGCCCCGATTGGGAAGTACCTGTAAATCTATAACTTCGTTGCGCAATTTGAGCAATATTTCGCTATCAGGTTTATTCTCTTCATTTTGGATTTTTGGAACGCATGTATGCTCTTCTACACTCTTATAAGTTTCAATCACTTTCTCTTGCAATTGAGCGACTTGTTCCTTAAAATTATCCAGCTGGATGAGCAGCTGTTTCCTTTCTGTCACAGATTGATCAAGGGATTCACTTAGTTGCTGGATTAAATCGTTCTTGTACAATATGGCGCTGTTATATTCCAATAACTGAAATCAGAAAATTTATTGACATTAGATTAGATGAATAATGAGCTACTAGAAGCGCTCTAAAAGTGACAAATAGTCGTGATTGAGTGATTTCTAAATTAAAGCATAGAATCGCAAAATGCAGATTACTTGCCTTATTATGGCACTCTTCTTGCATCTGCCTATATTCAGTAGCAGAAACCATACTTGAGGTAAATGTGGGATTACTCATTTCCCTAAAAGAATCCAGCTCTTGAGTTAAGGCACTTATGGCAGAGTCTTTCACAGCCACAATCTCTTCTAAATCTTTTAATCTATCTATTTCAAGAGGAGTTCCAGAAAAATAATTATCTGGATCCAAAGGCAGGTCAAAGCGCGCCAACTCAGTTTCTTCAGGGCCATGATTAATACTGTTATTGGGAATATTAAGCAAGCTTTTGTCGCTGAAATTAACATTAGCAAAAAGGTTAAAGCTATCGTCTTTGGAATTGGAATAGTCAAAGTCCGAGTGAAACTGGGAGTTGTTTAAAATCTCTTCTAGGATACTTTTAACATTTTTATCGCACTCATCACTTGAAGCTTGGGGTCTTGCCGGAGCATTGTCTGTGTTCATTGGGAGCCCGTTAGTGATGCTGCTTCCAAAGCTACTTAAATCTAGAGAATTCGGTTTCAGCTCTTGGGAAATATGAAGATCTGAACTAAGGATGTCGACAAAGGCACTTGTTTGATGGAGCACTTCGATTTCTTGAAAAGAACGGTCATTTTCAATGCTGCCACTGTTGGACGTAATATGTTCGCTAATGGAGGCTTCTGATATGGCCCCATCGGCGTCGTCCACTGATCTACTTTTGGATAGGGATTCCTCACCCTGGTCAGCTTGCAGTGACGCATTTTCCTCCTTTGATACATATTTAAATTAAACGCAATTATCGTTGAATAAACAATTTGAAGACAACCAACCAACCTTATCACTTGTTTCGTCAAGATTATCAGGCCCTTCCATTTTAGAGGGTTTAAAAATTGGAAAAACTTCTTTGTTTTTAGTAGCTTATAAATCCGCACATCGATAAACTGAATAAAGAAATCACAATTACTGTTTGGATATTTTTAGATTCCCACTTGGATCAAAACAAACCGTTTTTTGGGGGTTATGTCCAATGCCCAACTGTCTGGTGTTTGTTCGAACGGGAAACCTGGTTTCTAGGCAACCAGTTTGATGAGAGTATAATTATCCTTTTCTAAAAGATCTTCCTGCTTTTTGTATCATAATTAATTTAAACAGTTGAATGGAAAATGTACTTGAATAAAACTCTTAAAAACTCTTAAAAATTAAACTCTTAAAAACTAAGAACTTATCATGTCGAAGAATTAATTGCTTAATTTTTGCGGTCAAGCCAAGCTCTTAAACTGACACCTTTTTACTTTAATTAATTAATTACTTTTTTACATTTTCTACTTTATCAGGTCCACGCGTTGGAAGTAAACACTACTTAATACTATCTTATAGGTAGTTCGCATACTAACAACTTTTCACTCATAGAAAATGACTACTTTACCATAAGATAATAAAGGATGCCAAAACGTCCACGCTGTCTATCACGTCTATGTCGCAGCGATGCGGATCGAAAAATATTGCGTATTTGCCAAATCTGTATTTTTTACCAAAAGAGGTAGACTGTCGAGGACATTCCTTGAAACTAATGGGTTTTTCGGGCTTTTAGGCCGTCGTCCGGTATAGAAGATATTGTATGATCCTGCAAATTTTGGTATTTAGCGCAACTAAAGTAGAATTTTGCAAAATTTTTGAAAAATTTCGTTTGAAACTCGCGCCTTTGATTTCGGAAAACTTATCGTAAGGTAAAAATATATTTAGAAACTTGATTTTGAATTCGTTGAATTGGAGAAGAATTATCCTATAATCAATAAATTATTGTACCGATGCTTCTACGGTGGTTGAAATGTTTAATTTTTTATTTTTTTTATGTTTATATTTATGTTATTTCTTATTACGTTATGTATAAAACAAGACATTGGAGAGCGTAGAAATAGATCATAAAAAGGTTCCCTAAACTTCAACTAACTAATAATTCAATATTTTGTAAATTCAAAAATCGACACCGTGTATTTCAAAAGTGAATTCCCATATCCCAAACTACATCCTTAATCTGCTGTAATTATGGGAATATTCGTGGAAGAGGACGTTTTTACGCTCCGAACATAAGCGGCAGAAGAATGTTAATAGAGCTCTAATTATTGCAAAATTGCGCTCAGAATGATGGCACATTCCCCTAAATTACTATTGGAAATAGAGCAAAATAGCTATTTAACTTCATCACATGAACTGTAATTCTTATAGAATTTTGCTTTTATTGCCGCTTTTATGCCCTTACAATTTACTATAAAGCTTAACTTCAATGTGTTATAAAAATAGAAACCAGTAGCAGAAGACATTGATTTTGTTTGCTAAAAGACTTACGGTTATCTTTACATATTTTCGGAACAAAGCGCCAGACTTAACTTTTGCTACATGTTCAAATACGGTTTAAAATGTAACAAATAGACAATATAATGTCGAAAGATGAGTGTTATAAAGTTTCTCAATGCGTGAATGAAGCGAACAGTTTGCAACAAGCAATGAATGAATAATAGTGTACCTGGCATGGAAAATAGCAATCTTCCAACCTTACAAGCCGAAAACAGTGAAAATCATGACCGAATATAAGATGGAAATTTCGCAAAATGCGGAGAATGTACCAATTAGCATGGATATCAACACTGATAAGAAGGAGATGATCAATTTAAAAAATGATACGGAAGTCGTTTATACGCCTACTACAATGAGCGCTGATTCAAAATTTAATGATTTCCAAAGTTTGAAGCCAGACAAGCAAGTCGTACCTGGCAATTCGTTTTTTCTATATCGAACAGCTTTTACTGGTAAGTAGTGCAAGAATATTTAATAGCCTTAAATGGTAAGTAAGTGCATTTACAATTCATGCGCAACAATCCAAGATTTAGAAGGTTTTTAACTGATTTTGTTTCCGTATTTGATATGTTTGATTCAATTATTATAGTTAGTCCAAACTTTTTTTTCTTTGATTTAATTGCTGTCTATTCGTTAAGATTTATTGTTTTATTTGCTTCAAATGAAATGTTCTTCTACTATTTGCGCGCGATTATTTCCTGGTGCGTTTTCACACACTGAATTGAACTTTTGCCAATATTAACTATGATAAAACCGATTTCAAGTGTATGAACTGACTGTTTATCTTTCATTATATTTTCGATTTTTTTAAATGTTTTATTAACATCGCTATTTTTGGATGTATGCCATTCTCGCCAACTAGTCAATTGCCGTCCATCTACTTTGCTAATCACATAAGTGCCTGAAACAATAACGAAACAGATTACTTGATTGCACAGTTAACTCAGTTATCATGAAATACAATTATGTGTTTAAGCCGTCCTCCGAAGTTTTATCAGTTAAGTGTGGATTTGAACTGTCTATGACAAAAACAGAGCTGTTTATGAAGTTGTTATTAGTGGACAGCCAAGCAAGGTAATCCCGGGGGATTAAATCCGGGCTTCTGGGCGAGTAAGACGAGGCGAAAACATACCAAGAATTATGGTTAAAGAAAAAGTAGAAATAAGATACTGAAAACATTAGATGCAAATTTTAACGACGAAAGAGGCACTGAAACTCTTATGAAGAAATAGATTGACCTGAGAGACATAAGAATATTATCAAACCTCTACTATGGCCAAAAAGTATTAATACGAATAGGAGACACAACAGCTGAAAAAATTGCCATACTCAATCCATCAAGGATGTGGTACGCTCACCAAAAATTGATTTTTAATGTGGATTCAGATCGGCATTAAGTATCAAGGGAACGAGAGTAAATAACTTAAGATGCGCTGATGACACAGCCCTCTTAGCTAGATTGGAACGAAATGGGCTCTGAATATAAGTTCTACCATGATTTTCAATCAGTTCGATGCATTCCTCGAGTCCGTGAGCTGAAAATGATGTAAGACATTTTGAAAAAATTTAATTTTTTCAAAAAATCGACCCTCACCTTTGGAAAAAATTCGACCAAAAATCAAAATTTCACATGCGTGTTTTTTGAGCTCAAGCGGTTCCTTTCGACGTATGACGGTCAGAAATATGCATTTCAAAAGTGTTTGGGTCAATAATGAGGATGAAATCGTCGGGTAAAGATCGTGAACGCTCAAAAACGCTCAAAGTTTGCCGAAAACGTCTATTATTTCGGATGTGAAACTTCTCCCATATTATTCAATGAGTTCAATGCACTCCTCGCGTCCGTGAGCTGAAAATGATGTAAAATTTAAGACATTTTGAGAAATTTTGAATTTTTTCAAAAAATCGACATCTACCCTTGGACAAAATTCGACCAAAAATCAAAATTTCACATGCGTGTTTTTTGAGCTCAAGCGATTCCTTTCGACGTATGATGGTCAGAAATATGCATTTCAAAAGTGTTTGAGTCAATAATAAGGAAGAAATCGCCGGTTAAAGATCGTAAACGCTCAAAAACGCCTAAAATTTGCCGAAAATGTCTATTATTTCGGATGTGAAACTTCTACCATGTTATTCAATGAGTTAGATGCATTCCTCGCGTTTCAAAAAATTCAAAAAATCGACCGTTGGTTAAATTTCGGCCAAAAACCAAAATTTCACATGCGTGTTTTTTGAGCTCAATCGATTCCTTTCGAATGTGTCGAAAATGTCTATTACTTCGGATCTGAAACTTATACAAAAAAATCAAAATTTGCAAAATTACACTACTTAATTTAATGAAAAATCAGTCGGCAAAGAAGGTCAAAAAACTAATTTAAATTTTTTGGCCAGTCATTGCTGGGCTTTACAAGAAAAAAACATGTGAACTTCATTTCTTTCATTAAAACAACGCAACCGGCGTCCGTCATAGTCTCTTTTCAGTAAAATCAAAGAAAAAACAGTGAAAGCACTGCACCGCTTAAAAACACAGCGTCTTCTGTTTTACTGCATGTCGCTGTGTAAACATCTGAAAATCCACTGTGCTACCCAGGCCTACTCCAACCATTGACTTTCTTGCATATTGCCCACAGAAGATCAACTTCCTTTGTTCCACTCCTCCCACATCCACCAAGCACACTAAGAGTTGAAATGCTCTCAACACCCATAACACCTTTACTCAGTTTGCACTCTTTCCAGGCAACCTGTTAGCCTTTACGGCAGGAATTGGTTTTTCATGGACCTCCCCAGTGCTTCCGAAGCTGCATGGAGCCAACAGCCCTCTAAGCACGCCAATAGACGCGTCGCAGGAGAGCTTGATAGCTTCCATACTATGTGTAGGTGCTGCGATAGGGCCTTTTCTTTTCGGCTACCTAGCGGATAAAATCGGCAGAAAAAAGACGCTGCTTTCCATAGCTGTTCCTATGATAGTGGGAATAACCACTCTAGCGTTTACTGATCAGGTGAAGTTGTACTATTTTGGCAGGTAAGTGCTAATAGCACTATGCGTACACGTATGCAGACAAAAGACAAAGGGTTTTGTTTCAGATTGCTATATGGCATAGGAAGCGGAGGAGTGTTTACAGTCCTCACAATGTACACAGGAGAAATTACCGCCGATTACAATAGGGGCAAGTTCAGTTGCATCCTGGGCATATTCGTGGCTTTGGGGGTTCTTTATCCGTTCTCAATAGGCGGCTTTCTATCCGTGCGGATATTCTGCTTGTCCTGCTTCCTTCCTCTGCAAGTTTTCCTCATTTTCTTCACTCTTTACGCCCCCGAGAGCCCGTCATACTTAGTGAGGACAAGCAGATACGATGAAGCCGAAACTGCGCTCATCAACTTACATTCCCTTACCAAATGCCACGCTCGGGATGATGTTTCCGAGTTGCAACGCATCCAGGACCTCCAGGCAAAGACCAAAGGAGGAGTTGCGGAATTATTCAATTCGAAAGGAACGCGCAAAGCCTTTATAATTTCAGCTGGCCTGCTGATTATCCAGCAGTTTTCCGGAATTAATGCTGTGACTGGATTTATGGAGAACATATTCCGAGCAACTGGCAGCAGCATTCCTCCTCAAGCTGCCACTACTTTAGTTGGAGTCATTCAAGTTGTGACTGTTTTCATCACATCTTCCCTCATAGAGAAGTTGGGTAGGAAGTTTCTTCTCATGGCCTCCGCCATGGGCGCTGCTGCTTCCATCATATTGCTTGGTTTGTACTTTTTCCTCCACAAGCACGAGTTCAGGCTTCTAGAATACTTCTGGTGGCTGCCCATCTCCTGTCTGCTCCTCTACATTGTTTCGTTCAATCTGGGTCTGGGCCCAGTGCCGTGGACCGTGCTGAGCGAAATATTTCCAGATAACGTAAAATCCAGTGCTTCAGCCTTGATATCGTCCATCTGCTTTGGAACATCTTTTGTGGTCACTCTGGCATTTCCGATACTTAGCGAAATGCTCGGCATGGCCGAGTCGTTCTGGTTGTTTGGACTTTGCTGTATTTTCGGAGCGGTTTTCGTGCGCTTCATTGTCGTAGAAACGAAAGGAAGGAACCCGATGCAAATTCAGGAGATACTGGGCGTTTAACAACGCCTCGATCTGATGATGTGGAAATTAAACGAGGTATTTGCTATGTACTTGATTGTTATTTTACCCTAAAATGTATGATATTTAATACCAAA